GTAGCACATGAACTGCACATTTTCTGGCCGTGGCACCAAACCAGATGCAGAACACTCTTTTCTTCAGCATGAGTCATGGAAAGAAGGCAGCAAAGTCTCATCACGCCAGGAGGCAGGGCTGGAAAACTGGGCAGGAGGCACCCCATTAATCCTGGTTCTTTGGGAGAGAAGGGAGAGCTGATAATGAAACAAACCCCTGTGTGCAAGGAGTCTCCAATTTCTGATCTCCTAAAATGGCAAAGCAGAACCTGAGAGTGTAGAAGTAGAATCCCGCCCTGTCCGTACATAATGAAGAGTCTGGAACTGAATAACTATTTTGGTTGAATGAATCAAGAAATCAATGAAGCCTCAGAGTTAAGGCTCCCCTGTGAAACAGCTTTGGGGGAAACTGAGAGGCAGTGGGGGTTGTTGGCCAACAGGTTTTCATTGGGCTAGTCTCTGATTTCCCACTAATTGTTGAAATGTGAGGCCCAAAATTTTAATTCATCTATAAGCAAGGAAGTTATGAGGGCAGTTCTCAGAGTCCAATTACAAATATGGTTTGGGATATCATAATTTAGGTGATATACCAATACCCTGTGGTGACCTGGATGTGATTATCACAGGGGGTTGTCTCTCCTTAGAATGAGGACACACAGTATAATGTCTAGTGTAACCTCACATTACATAATTATTGCTGGTGTGTGGACGTGTGCACAATAGACATAATAATAAAGATAATAGCTTGAAGTTAGTTAGGATGTATTAAGTCCAGACACTGGGCTAAGTGGCTTCTCATGTATGATCCATAAGTCTTCCATACAATTATCTGAAATAAGTTATTATATCTATTTTATACTTGTGGAAACTGAGGCTTAAGAGGTTTATAAATACTTCCAAGTTCACATAGCTACTAATCAGCAAAGCTAAGACTCACACCCACAATATCTGACTTCAAAGTCTACAAGATGAATTGCTATGTTATTCTGATCAACAAGCTTTACGTACAAGTCTACAGGTCTAAATCTGAAATAATCGATATTTAAATAGCTGGGTAATGCTTTTGTTTTTAAAAAGCTTCACTTTTGCCCTAGCCAGTTTGGCTCAATGGATTGAAGGGTCCCAGGTTCAATTCCAGCCTAGGGCACATGCCCGGGTTGTGGGCTTGTTCCCCAGTGTGGAGCGTGCAGTAGGCAGCCAATCAATGATTCTCTCTCATCATTGATGTTTCTCCCTCTCTCTCCCTCTCCCTTCCTTTCTGAAATCAATAAAGAAATCCTATATAATAAAAGCCTAATATGCAAATCGACTGAATGACAGAACAACCAGGGGAATGACTGGTCGCTATGACGTGCACTAACCATCAGGGGGTAGACGCTCAACACAGGAGCTGCCCCCAGCCCGCAGGCCCCAGGCCAGACAAGGTGGGTGCCAGTGGGGTCCCTCCCATCACCCCGCCAGTCACCCCACAGATCAGCCCTGATCGCTGGCCAGGCCTAGGGACCCTACCCGTGCATGAATTTCATGCACTGGGCCTCAAATATATATATACTAGAGGCCCGTTGCAGGAAGATTCCTGCAAGAATAGGGCTTCCTTGGGCCTATTCCTGCAAGAATAGGGCTTCCTGAGACCAGAGCGAAGCAGAGAAGGGAGCGAAGCGCTCCCTTCTCCGCTGCCTCGCTCCCTCCCTTTGCCGCTTCACCCTCGGCTCCCTCCCTCGGCCCCGCCTCGCCGGGTCACGGATCCGAGGCTCGGATCCCACAGGCAGCATCGGGCGCTGCCAGCCTCACCTGCAGTATGCAAATTTAACGGCCATCTTTGTTGGGTTAATTTGCATACTTTCTGATTGGCTGATGGGTGTAGCGAAGGTACGGTCAATTAGCATCTTTGTCTTTTATTAGTGTAGGTTATATATATAGATATATAAAATAAATAAATTCTTTTTAAAAAGCTTCACTTTTTCTATCTGTTGAAAACCTTCTGGCAAGTGGAGGCAACTATTTCTACAACTGGTTTTGATGTGATTAATCTTTAAGTCTTGAAGCTGTTCCCTATACCTATGCATAGAATTAGGTATTCCTATCTGTGCCTTCTTGATTATTATACTCATTTGGTCCCCAAAACACTCCTTGAATGATGTGGTCTGAACTCTTATTTGACTCTACAGTTTGGTAAAGGATTCTCTCTGACTGAACTGAATAAGATATAAGAGGCTGAACCCAGCATCTAGCTAGAGATCCATAAAGATTTTTGGGAAATGAGGAAGTCTTAAATCCTTTCCCAAGAAGAACAGCATTGTGCTCACTGAGGACTCCATAGCAGTTCTAAAGGTCACTTCCGACGGGATCTGACAAGTTCTCTCCGTCTGACAGAACCACATGCTGGAAGAAGAACTGGAAAAGGGGAAGGCTGGTGATGAGTTTGCTTTTTAACCTAAAGGGACCTGAAGATCTGGGGACTTGATAGGTAGGGTTCTGGCTTCCTGCTCTTCCAGAAGACAGATGTGTCCTCAGGGGCTGACCTGGCTCTTCAGTGACCTCCAGTCCTTCTCTTTTGCCCTCTGCCTCCCTTTCTTCCTTTTCCATCAGTAATATACATGGGAAGGTGGGTGTGTAGTGTGCTGGGTTTACTTGAAGAAGATTGAATTTGATATTTGTAATTGTAATGACTATTAACTTCCCAGCGGTTAGCAATGGTCAGGAGAAGGCCATTCACCCACTAAGAGCCAAAGGAACCAGGAGTCTATAAATCCGCAGTTCCAAGGACTGTAATTCTTTTGACTCCCAGAGGATAAGAAGAGACTTCTAGGTAGCAAACATGCAAGTGTGTGTGTGTGTGTGTGTGTGTGTGTGTGTGTGTTGACTATACGTCCTTCAGACCTTTTCTTCAAGAGCCAGAAACTGATTCTCACCACTACTGGGAATGCTGGCTGCTGGCTGTTGAGACTCACAGCTGATCCCTCTCTAGGACTTACCCTCCACAAAAGGGAGTTGCCCCATCCCAAGATTACTTAGCCCTTCCCCTAGGCAGCTCAAATCCAACGATGCAAAACAAAGACGAGGCCCTTTGCCTGGATAGGGGACAAAAAATGAGACAACCCCCATGGGCCACCCGAGGTCCAGCACTTCCATAGGCTCAGCCTCTGCCCAGTCCTCCCTCCCCTCCCTCAGAGAGTGGGCCTTTAGAATCACCTCCAGAGCTCATACAGCAAGTACGCAGCAGAGCTGGCATTCACATCCAAATCCATGCGTCTCTCAGCTCTAGGTTTCTATCGACTTTATCAAGGCCTTGACTTTGATTTTCAAAATACAAATCCTAACACCTTAGCAAGACATACAAAGTCCCTTTTTATATGACCGTCCTTTCTAGCCTCACATCCCATCACTCATGTCCATACAATCCCTGGTCCAGTCACATCACACTCTTTCCTTTCCCAGGACATGCCACGCTCTTGCTTTCCCGGGAACAGGTCACTGTCCTTGTCTGCTTGACCACCACCTCCTTCTCCCAGACCTCACTGCCAGTGTGTCCTTCCCTGTGAAGAACTTCCTTCCAGCCCCGCAGTTGAGCATCCCTTTAGCAGGGGAGCTGTTCATTATGGTAATGGGTTCCCTGCAGGCAGGGACATGTCTTTTAACTCTGCTTCCCCAGCCAGACATTTTAAAGATGTTTAGTTAAATGGATAAATAAATGAGGACTAGTTTTTTCTTCATCTATAGAGCCTCTCCAAGACCTAACGCCATCTCCTGCTCCTAGAAGATGCTCAAAAACAAAAACCAAAACCAAACATTGACCAAATGAGGTCTTGGCTGAAAGGGCTGATGCAGGAGAAATTTCTTTCACTCTCATGGCTCAGTCTAAACTATTTGTTTTAAATCTCTACTTTTAAAGATGCACGGGATATTCTTGTATTTATAGTCTTGCTAATTAATATTGTCTTGTTACATTTTTCACATTTCTCCTTTGTTTGAAACATCTCCCCCCACCCCCCAAATTACTAGAGCAAAAGAGGACTTGGAGTTGGCTAAGTTACATTTCTAGGTCAGAACTGAAACCTGCTGTGGATACATCAAACATGACTGAGAAGTTTTCCAGCTGGCCTGCCTAACACTGCATCTTTGTTCTACGGGCCCCTTTGAAACATAAATATGCCATTAATCCACAAGTTGGTTCTTTCCCCACTTTCTGAAACTAATAATTACTTACTGAATAGAGGTACAGATATTGGTATAGGCAACCGCACCCCTAGTACAAAGCTGAGGTGGGGGCGGGGGCGGGGGCGAACCCTTGTCTTACAAACATACAAACTGAAAGCTAGTCTAACTGGGCAAGTGGCTGCATTCTCTCCAAAGGAAATGGTCCAATTTTGTTCTTGTTCTCAACAAAAATGTCCAAATTAAAAAAAAAACAACAACAAAAAACAACTGCTGAGAGCTGGCTGGGACTAGTAGTAATGATAAGAAGACTTAAAAGTCCAGTTTCTTCTTCCTTTTTAATGGATTTGGGAAGGAGGAAGCTTGCTGGCATGCAAGGGACAGAATTTTCTGTGCTCTGTGGAATTTTTTTCATGTCACTCCATCACCGCCTCCGCTGCTGGCCTGGTGGGAGTCAGAAGAAACTGTGATAACGTTTTCCCGAGAGGGCAGCACATCTGGTTATCTCGTTCTTCACAAGTCTCTGACCAGGCGTGAGCCCCAAACACCGAATCAGAAGCTCTTCCTCTTGGGTTTGGTTTTTCCTAACTGCAGGCAGCCCGTCTCTAAGGACAGAGGTGCGACTGGCAGACACTCCTCATTTCAAAAATTTGCTCACATTGTTTAGTCACAGATTCAGTGATTTAACTCTACAAGTAGGCTTGCTCAGGCTTCACTTTTCAGTAGGATATGAACACATTTATTTTTTTTTTACCTAATATTTCTTGAGCCCCGTTAAGGAATCAAGGCACCAGCCCCTTCTCAGTTGTGGCTACAGGCAGAGCGGTTATGGGAGAGCACAGTACGGCAGGACGGACGGAGGGTACCTTTTTAAACATCCTGGTGGAATCCTCGCTGATCTGCATGAAGCGCATAATCACGTTGTTCAGGTAGATGTCACTCAAGGTTGCGTGGTCTTTGCTTTCTCTCCTCACTTGGTTCAGGAGCAAATACCAGCAGTTCACTGGAGACAACAAGTTCTGGTCTTTCCTACAAAGTGAAGAAAGACAGGATTACCATCCATTTCAAAGCCGCCCCAGTCAGCTGAGGGAAGACACCAAGGCAAACCAGGAGCCACGCGAGACGGGTTTGGTCACTGTTCTTTTACACTGGGTATTGCTCATACCAGGGCACTCCACAGCCAGCAGAGCAGCCTCCCAGGCCGTGATGGCACAGAGCCAGCGCTTTCCTGGGCTTGAAGAAAAAACCTGGACCAAGAACATGGGTCAAAATGTACTCTCCCAACAAGGGCCATAGGACCCTACCATACAGGGCGCTCAGGCAGGCCTTCGGCTTTAAAGCCTCCATTGAAGAAAGCAGTTCATGTTTACATAAAAATCTATAGACTACTGTCTCCCAGACAGACTGTGGTTTGCCCCTGCACACAAAGTCTGCTTTGACTGTTCAGGCTGTTGTTGGAAAAGAGATTTGGCTAGGTATGCTTTCCAGGGAACATAAATGTGAGTGTGATTTATTAACCCCCCGATACATAACCTCCAGCCTCCCAAAAAGAGCCAGAACTTTATAGCATTGTCTCAAGGCTCGTGAACAGAACCACAAAGTTTGCTGGCTTATAACTTGTCACACGCCCTGTTTAAACAGCTTCAGATTTCTAACTCCTCCTTGTTTATTCTAGATAATAAAGCTAAAAGTAAAATATAAACCACGAAAGAAGACTTGTAAAAAATATTAAAGAAAAACTCTGAACAAAAAGAGTGACCCATATGTAATACCTGAATCAATAAATTTAAAAAAAAAAGGTTGACCCACTAGGATGTTACTGCTTAAAAAAAAAAAAATCAAAGTACCACCACGTTTATGTGTTTGTTTTTTTGCTTCGTTTTGTTTTGACATTAAAATCTAACTGTAAAATGGCAAAATGGCATAGAATGTTTACCCTAACTCAGGGACATAAGTGCCATTTTATCAGACATGTTATCCTCCTATTATTCGTGATCATTGACAACTCTGAATATTAATTCAGTTAGGAAATAAATCATTAAGTCAGCTCTTTCTGTTAATAAGCCCCTCAGATTCAGGATTGAACACTGCATTAAGTCAGAACCGTCTCTAGAAAAAAGACGAAGAGAAGATAGAGGTAGGAATGGGTGTAGGGGAAGAAGCCCCTGATCCAGGGTCTTAGTACTTGCACCCCCGAGAGAGGCCACCCATTCTCCCAGCTGGCACACTGAGAGTCGCTCCCCACCTGGAGAACCCCGATTTTCCCTCAAAGTGCTCAGGCAAAGGGCAGTGGGCCAATGGCAGACAAGGGGAGCCTTTCTACTGACAATCTCTATCGACCCAGCCAAGAGGGAAATGTTACCTCATCATATTAACTTATATGTATATTCTTCATGTTGAAGAACATCTGAAGACATTTCATACTTTTCTTTTGTTTCCTCAATGCCCTGCCTATAGTAAGCTTTAAATATTATTCCATTCATTGAATAAACACTTGGCATTGCCTTAATAATAACAGTAGTAGTAACAACAACAGCAGCTATCATTTACTAAGCACCTACTGTAAGAAGCAGCTCACATATTGAGAGCATGGAATATGGCTCTGGCTGGTTTGGCTCAGCAGTTAGAGCGTCTACCCACACACAGAAGGGTCACCAGTTTGATTGCCGGTCAAGAGCAGGTACCTGGGTTGCAGGTTCGAACCCTGGTCCCAGTCAGGGTGTATGCCAGAGGAAACCAATCAATGTATCTCTCATCAATGTTTCTCTCTTTTTTCTCCCTCCCTTCCTTTCTCTCTAAAAATCAATGGAAGAAATACCCTCTGGTGAGGATTAACAACAAAACAAAAAAAGAATGCATGGAATATGGATCTACACTATCCAGGTCAGCAGTCGCGAACCGGTGGTCTGCAGACCATTGGTGGTCTGTGAGATCCGAAAGGTTGGCGACCGCTGGTCCAGGTCCAGGTCCCAGAACTACCACTTACTAGCTATATGATCTTGGCCAAAATATGTAACATCTCTGTGTCACCACTACTTCATTTGCAGAATGGATAAAATAACAGGACTTATTTGGGGGATTATTTGCTTACTAAAATGCCTTAGTTCTATAGTAAGTGCTATATGAAGCTAGCTCTTTTTATCCAGGGGCTGATCTGAAGACTTTACACAGACTAACTCTACTGAATCCTTACACTACCATTTAAGGCAGAGATTCTTTCTGCCCCCTCTATCAATGACAGAACTGGAGCTTAGCAAGGTGCAGGGATGTGCTGAAGACCAACGCTGGTGTCAGAGAGACTTTAAACTGGGGAGACAGATCCAACTCATGATCTTTGCACCGTACAGGGGCAATGTTAGGCCAAGGATTGTTCTACACCAACCGTTTTCAACCTTTTTCATCTCATGGCACACGTAAACTAATTACTAAAACTCTGCGGCACACCAAAACAATAGGTATCATTCTGATTCATCCACACAGGACAGCTGTTTGGTTGTTGTCATTTTTAAAATTTTGACAACCTAAGATCAATGGCCCTGACTAAACAGTCAGGTTTTGCATATTTTTAAATTCTTATGGCATACCAGTTGAAAATCTCTGTCCTACACTATAAACATCCCCAAATTGAATAGGAGCTAGACTCCAAAGTCCAGCTTAAATGATGGGTCAAGTTACAGTGCTAAATATTTAATGTTTGTTTGGTGAAGAGAGGAAAAATATTATGTGTAGATCCCATGCCAGCTATCAATCATATCAAGAACTTTGTGTCTCATTTAATGGTCATAAAGTCTCAATGTATAAGTTAGAAAAAAAAAGGCTCAGAGAGTTAAACAACTTTACCAACGGCACACAGTAGAGTCAGCATATCATATGAGGCCTATATGACTACCTGCCCCCAAGTTTTATTGACATATAATTACTATACAAGTATAAGTTTAAGGTTTATAGCACAGTGGCTCGACTTACATATACTGTAAAATGAACCTGTCTGACTCTTTAATAAAGACTGTCTGAGTTTTTCCTAATCCTGGTTCATCCTTTCTGTAGGCATTATCCATCTATCTTCAGTCCCATATTTATTCAAAAATAAATGTACTCCAGTCAAAGAAAATTCCAAGTTGCTTACTTTTTGAAGAAAACTAGTGAACAAACCAGGAGAAACAAAAGTGACAGCTCTCTATTGAGGTGTCAGACTAAGGTGCCTATTTTTAGTTGATAACTCATTACCCAGGACAGCACACAGAAGGTGTCATTCAAAAATATTTACTGAGCCCTTGCTGGTGTGACTCAGCAGTTTGGAGGTCGTTGGTTCGATTCCCGGTCAGGGCACATGCCGGGGTTTAGGGCTTGATCCCTGGTAGGGAATGTACAGAGGGCAGCTGATGGATGTTTCCCTCTCACATTGATACTTCTCTCTCTCTCTCTCCGTCTCCCTTCCTCTCTCTCTAAAAATCAATTTTAAAAATTTTACTGAATGGATGAATGAGCTGTCTTCTTTGCATTCACTTTAAAAAAGGACGGTTACTATAAATGTGAATGCAGTACCGGCTCCAGTCTCCTCTTTCTAGCTCTAGTCTCTGTCGGGTACATTTGACATTTGTTTGCCCTGGAAACCATCACTAAAATTTATTTCTATTCTGGCCCAACACATTCAAAGTGTGTGTGTGTGTGTGTGGGGGGGGGGGGGGAGGGGTATTCCCTATGTGGAGTAGTGTTTCAATTGCTTCTGCAAAAGTAGCCCAGGGACAGTTTCTGCCCAACTTTTTATGTAGGATCCAAAGCCACAGAGGGTGTAAAATGGAACTGCAAGCCCATGGTGAAGGCAAAGACAGGCATCTCTGAATCACCCTCCAATCCTGAGCCAGCTGAGCAGACAGGCCTTGTTGTTGCCTGGTGTGTGTGTGTGTGTGTGTGTGTGTGTGTGTGTGTGCGCGCGTGCGCGCAGGGGGGAGGGGATTTATGGTTTTCTGTTTTATCATTTCACTGAGATAGTTTTACTGGTCCTGATTTTAGGCTGGGAGACAATGTGATAAGCTTGGTGGTGGGGAAGCCCTCAGTTCCAACTCTTTACCTGGTTGGGCCTCATCTTCTATCCTCATCTTTATTGGGACTAAAGAGTGGGTAGAGCCCGACCTGTGTGGCTCAGTGGTTGAGCACTGACCCATGAACCAGTAGGTCATGATTCAATTTCCGGTCAGGGCACATGCCCAGGTTGTGGACTCGATTCCTGGTGTGGGGTGTGCAGGAGGCAGCCGCTTGAGGATTCTCTCTCATCATTGTTTGTATCTCTCTCCCTCTCCCTTCCTCTCTGAAATCAATCTACACTAATAAAAGAGAAACATGGTAATTGGCGTACGACCGCTACCCTTCCCATTGGCTAATCAGCATATCCTTATGCAAATTAACTGTCAGCCAAGATGGCGGCCGGCAGCCAGGCAGCTGGAAGCTAACATGAGGCTTGCTTGCTCCAGGGACTGCAGACTCCAATGTTCCCCACCTGCCGCTGCCGGCCTCTGAGTTGCAACTCTAAGAAACTATGTACTATGTTGCAAATAAGAAGCTAAACAAAACTCCAAAACCGGCTGTCAGTCAGCCCCGGACCACAACATTGTATCCATGTTTTCAGCAGTGAGGCCTCAGAGCTAAAGCTGGCCCAGAATAAAAAAAAAAAAGAAAGAAAACAAGGAGTGGTTGGGAGCTTTTAGTCAACTGCCAGCCGGAAAACAGCCCTCAGCCCCTCAGCCAGCCTGGCCAGGCACCCCAGTGGGGACCCCCACCCTGATCCAGGACACCCTTCAGGGCAAACCAGCCGGCCCCTACCCGTGCACCAGGCCTCTATCCTATATAGTAAAAGGGTAATATGCCTCCCAGCACCGGGATCAGCGGAGCAGCGAGGCTCCCAGCACCGGGATCAGCGTGACAAGGGGCAGCGCCCAAACCCCCTGATCAGCCCTGCTCTGTGCCTGAAAGGGGGGGAGCTCCCCAATCCCCCAGTCGCCCTGCAGCTCTGTGTTTGACAGGGTGCAGCGCACCAACCCCCTGATCAGCCCTGCTCTGTGTGTGACAGGGGTAGAACCATAACTTCTCCATCGGCCCTGCCCCGAGTGTGACAGTGGCGGCGCCCCAACTCCCTGATCGGCCCTGCTCTGTGGGTGATAGAGGGTGGCACCCCAACCCCCCCTCCATGGGCCTTGCTCTGTGTGTGACAGGGTAGAGCCATAACCTCCCCCATTGGCCCTGCCCTGAGTGTGACAGGGTGCAGCGCCCCAACCCCGCCCCCCCCCTCCACGGGCCCTGCTCTGTGTGTGACAGGGTAGAGCCATAACCTCCCCATTGGCCCTGCCCTGAGTGTGACAGGGTGCAGCGCCCCAACCCCTTGATCTGCCCTGCTCTCTGTGTGACAGGGGGCGGTGCCCCAACTCCCCTATCGGCCCTATCTGTGAGTGACAGGGGGGAGCTCCCCAACCCCCCTGATGGGCCCTGCTCTGTGAGTGACAGGGGGCAGCGCCCCAACCCCCTGATCAGCCTTGCTCTGTGCGTGACAGGGGGCGGCGCCACAACCTCCCCATCGACCCTGCCTTGAGTGTGACAGGGGGCGGTGCCCCAACCCCCCAATTGGCCCTACCCTGAGTGTGACTGAGGGTGGCATCGCAACCTCCTGATCCGCCCTGCTCTGTGCATGACGGGGCGGCGCCCCAACTCCCCAATTGGCCCTGCTCTGAGCCTGACCAGGGGCTGCACTTAGGGATTGGGCCTGCCCTCTGCCACCCGGGAGCGGGCCTAAGCAAGCAGGTCGTTATCTCCCGAGGATCCCAGATTGCGAGAGGCCACAGGCCGGGCTGGGGGACCCCTCTCCTTCCCACCCCCCCCAAGTGCACAAATTTTTGTGCACCGGGCCTCTAGTAAAAATATATTTAAAAAAAGAAAAAGAGTGGATACAACTGCCAATTTGGTTTTTAGTTCCCTTTTCTTTTTCTGGCCCCTGGAAATTTCCCTTACTTTCCTATGTTTCGGTTATACATTTAAAAGAATGTCTATTATATTTTAAGCAGAATTTCTGGGAGTTTTGTGGCAGAAGTATTTGTCAGGTTACCTAGTCCCTGCATTTCCAGAAATGAAAGGCTGTGCTGCCTGCTTCGCGCCTCCTGAACAAGTCTGTTTCTTCTGGCAGTGCTGCGCGTTCACGCCCCTACTGCGCACCCCCTCCCTGCACCCTCCCCCCTAAACACACACACACACACACACACACACACACACACACACACACACGGCCTCCCTCTCTCAATGTCCTCCTGTGCACAATCTGATCTCCGGTCCTTGTTATCATTTAAAAAAGCAGGTCTGAGCTGGTCATCCTGCTACTTAAAACTCCCTGAAGGCTTCTCAAGCCCTCAGGATGAAATCCAAACTGTTGAGTATGATCTACTCCACGATCTGGCACAATGTACACTTGTAACCACCGGGCTACTTTCTGTTCTCAAAGCTGTCCCGCCCCCCCCTCACCCCCACCCCCACCCCGTCCCTTATACACGATGTTCCTCTTGCCTGGAACAGCCCGCTCCAGTCTCTGACATGCCACCTAGTCCCTCAGGTCCTCACTATGTATTACTTCTTCCGGGACCTTTCCTTGACCTTCCCTTCCATCTTTACTACAGGATGGACTGCCATCAGGTGGGCCCAGGCCATCCTGCGATTACCCTGTCATAGCACTTGTATATTCTATCTGCATACTGATCTCGTTTTGTCTCTAGGATTTATTAGGAAGTAAATTCCATGACCAGAAAAACCGGTAGGTATTCTTTAAACAGATGAAGCACAATTAAGATGAAGTTTCATTACACTCAATCATAGCATATTTACAAGAACCTTGTTTAAAGTCGGTCTCAATTGCAATGACCATAAACATGATGGGGGAGAGGGGGAGGACTAAATTGAAGCAACCCTTATTGCTTTTTAAAAATAAAAATATATATTCTTATTGATTTCAGAGAGGAAGGGAGAGGGAGAGAGAGATAGAAACATCAATGATGAGAGAGAATCACCGAATGACTGCCTCCTGCACGCTCCCCACTGGGGACCAAGCCCGCAACCTGGGCATGTACCCTGATCGGGAATCAAACCCTGACCTTCTGGTTCATAGGTCGATGTTCCACCACTGAGCCACACTGGCTGGGCATTATTGCTTATTTTCATATAAAATCACCGCAGAAAGGCTGAAGTCTCTGAACAATCAGCTATTTAAAGTTTGCCCATCCAAATATCCACCTGTGGTAGATATCAGCTCCTAGTGTCCTGTAATGGAGACGTTTATAAAAAATATGAACTTTATGTTCTTCTTGAATATATAGTTACCCCAAAATATATATTTATTGGAAAGAGAAAACTGTGAAGAGAATACTATTAATTTAAAATGTGATAAACTAATGCTCATAAATGCAGATGGCTGCTTTAATCTATGGGGTTGTGCCAATCAATAGCTTATGAGACAAAAAGGGAAAATCCTAAAACCAACCAGGGCAGTGAAAAGGCAGGCTATGACCTTGGAAAGGTGAATCTGAGTCAAGCCTCTCTTACTTGTACTGCTGATGATCCTTAGTGCTTCTTGTTTTTGCCATGAACCTTTCTGCTAACTTCTCTAGGTTCCGAGAATATTCCGTCTCGATTTCGGCTTTTTTCCGGAAGAAATCTTGCAGGTCCTGGAGAAGCTGAACTCGCATCTCCGTTTGCTGCTCCAGGCATTTTTGTTGTTCTACCAGTTGAGCTCGAATTTCTAAAGAGAGAAGAGAATCCATCTGATGATGTCACGAATATTACTGAGGTATGCTGGTATGTGCAAGATAAAAGTAATTAATCCCATTATGCATTTAGCGCTGAACTGGACCTCTATGAGACATGCTTCGTCCAGGTCGGTTCCTTAAATAAGGTATCTGCTGACCCTTTAAGAGAATGAGGCAAGCCTCTGGAAAGAATGTCATAAAGTTAGAACAGAAACATGGGTTACATTTGCAATGCCACAAACACGCATGGAGTCATGAGGGGGAAAAATTAAAGCCTTTCAGATAACAATTCGTAACATGTGACATCTTTGGGTAGCTGAGCACACTGTAATTTTTTCAGCAACATTTTACCCCAACTACCCCTTCTGAGTCTGAATGGCAAAGAAGTGAGCATCATTTCTCCCAGACGCTGAGCCACCACACATTTGCCAGTTGGCACATACCGACACTGACATCTGGTAATTTTTATTTAGTGCATAAATTTCTAGTTTGTAAAACACATAGCTTCAGGGTTTGTAGGGATGCTGTGCCTAAAAATAATTTCTTTCTACATCCAAATCATTCATAACGGGGCAATCCTCGGATTCCACTTTATTACTGCATTCGTCAAGGGCTCTTCACTGTTACACAGTGTTCACACTAACAGCCTTCTCGACACAGAATCCTAAAGTGAATCTTTTGACAATTTTAATACATCAGGAACACGAGGGTTGGTCTTTTAGTGATTTAGCAAGAAGACAAAAGCAGAAGTGTGTCCTGTACAACTATCTGTAAATGACTGCAACAATGAAGCATGTGTTTTGGAAAATGAGATACAGTAACTAATAACAACTGATTTGTTTTTGTTCTGAGATCCAGGGCTGGCCTCCAAAGACAAGAATATTCATATTGGGAAAACTTTATTTCATCTTTCCCAGCGCATAATCCTAAAAGTGAGAGCTGAATCTAATTCAGTGGCGTTAATAAAAATCAGTGTCCAAATAACACCTCCTCGATTTCTATTATTTTTCAATAGAGAATGACTGAGCTGGTGGTATATATGTACACACTTGCCCACGTTTAATCAAGCTCATGAACAGCAGGGCAGTCAAGTTCTGAACAGGGAGTTGGAAAATTTGCCCAATTTATTAATAACTAATACTAATGAAATACTACTCTACACCTTCTTGAAGTTCAGTACTCGTCTATCCCCATTTTACAAATAAGAAACTGACATTTAGGGAGGCTAACTATATCATCTAGGGACTTCAGCTAGTAAGTGGCACCCCCAGGACCTCTAACCCAGTCTGTCGGTCAGATTAATAGGACATTTCTACCCGCCTCCCATCCATGCAACCTGCTTGAGCAGCTGTAGTGTGCCAGGCCTAAATCCTGGCAAAGAAGACACCATAACTATGAAACAAGGACTCTACCCCCAATCAGGTTATGTTCCAGGCAAAACTGTTTCGTGGGAACCTTGGCAGAAGAAAGGGGAGTATTTCTCAAGTGTCCTCTCTCAGCTTCTCCACGTCTAGCTTGGGGGATCCTATTATTCATCTCATGGAAGTGTGGTGAACACAGGAGTGAAGACATTATTATAGGCTTTTAACTACCGCGAACAGCATCTGGGTTTTAGTCAATCAAAGTAAGTGCTTTTCAATACAACATTATTATAATCATGTCTGCCAAGCTCTTTCACCCACGGATACAGAACTATTTTTGTTTCATAAAGAAAAAAAAATCAAAGGTAGGAGAATTTCTCATTCAGGAATCCCAGCAAGTCTTTCAAGATTTAGTAATTTTAGCACATCTTGCTGTGCTAAGAGAAAATAAATCCGTTGGCTTAGGCTGTCAACTGGTTGTGTGTGTGTGTGTGTGTGTGTATGTGTGTGTGTGTGTGTGTGTTTAAGCTGCCTTAGTGCCAAATAAGAAATAACAGGGGCTGAGAGTACAGATCTCAGCAGAAGTACATAAAAACTACATGGTTTCCTTCTTCAGTCTTAAATTCTTAGTCTCTTCCGTGCTGCCTTCGGGGTTCAAAATCAAGGACTAGGGAGCTCTGGGAAGGAAGAATGTCTGCAAGCAGGTAAAACCTCATCCTCATTTCGCAGGAGTAACTTTTTACTTCATGGCATCGGTACTTTTCCAATGAGAATAGGACCCTGGGAACATCTGCAATAGCGAAAATGTGGGGGGCAGGACCCAGAGTCATGGTGAGAGAAAATAAAATACGCTCCCAAAACTGGAAAGAGAACTGATTTGAGTACATCTTTAGTTGAGAAAAGTTCAGGACAAGCGAAGAAAAGATCATAAGGAAAAATAATCAATATAAAAGTACTGCCATAAAAATGTCTTGTTAGGAAGAAAAAAACTGGATTCCTTACACCACATCAGAGCCACAAAGCAGCGCAATACAGCAGGTCACCTCCCTGCACATATGGTGCGGCTTTATTCATATGGCCTCACTAGATTTGAGCTCACCTAATTACAGCACTAAAGAATTTACAAGATTTAAAAGTAAACGAGTAAAATCAATTAATGGTCATGTAAATGTTGGTCCCCTGCTCAGCACATACCAAAGCAGCCGTGGTGCACTATCTATCGATCCTTGCGATAGGACCACAGGTGGCCACAGAGCATAGCACCCCTGTCCGCCCAGGGACCACCGAATCGTTAGGGCTAGAACGGAAGAAAGCATCACAGTAAGGGGTGATTTCTGGAAACACTGTGAGCCTATTTCCGTAGAAGGAACTGCAGTTTCCCTCCCTCCAATAGATTCAAGGACACTCTTTCAGGGCCTATCCTATTAGCTTTCGTGGATTCGTACTGACCTGCATCAGTTTTTCAGACTCAAGCTTCGAATTAATTTAGTTGCCCAAGCCCTTGTTGCACTTCTATTTTGTGTTAGGCAGAGCCCTAGGCACTGGAGTTACAAAAATGTGCAAGACGGCAGCTTCCTTCAGTGGGGAAGGCAAATCCCAAGCTGATAGTATCAACACACTGAGCTCAGTGCTGCGATAAAGGGATGCACCAGGAAGTTACGGAAAGAGGAGCTGCCCCAGACAGTGGACGAGCTTGGAAGACATGATGGCCTCGAAGATAAGTTACAACTTATACAGCTGTAACCACCAAGAAAGTGAAATACAACCCACAGAGTGGAGAAGATACTTGCAAATCATGTATCTAATAAGTAACGTGTGCCCAGAATAAGGAAAAATTTGATTCATTTGAAATAAGGTGTTGGAGGAGAGCTCTGCGGATACCGTGGGCCTGGACCGCCAGAAAGACAAACAAGTGGGCCCTGGAGCAAATGAAGCCTGAAACGTTGCTGGAGGCGAACACAACAAAACTGAAGCTGTTCTGCTGGAGGCATACCATGGGATATACAAGTCACAGGCACAACGAGGTAGCGTATCTCCTCCCCTAGGATGGCCATCACCAACAGGACAGAAGGTAACAAGGGCTGGCGAGGACGCCAAGACACTGGAACCCGCATTCATTTACTGCTGGTGGGGATGTAAAACGGTGAAGCCACTTCGGAAAACAATCTGGCAGTTCCTTAAAAGGTGAAATTTTCATACATACATTATTCGTACTAGCTGAGAAGCGGAAACAGACTAACTGTCCATCAACTAATGAAGAGATAAAAATAAGTGTGGCTGTAAAAAGGAATGAAGTACTGACTCATGGTACAGCATGAATTAACTTTGAAAATATAAGCACAGTGAATGAAGCTAGTCACAGCAGACCACAGTGATTCCCTTAATGTGAAATGTCCAGAATAGACTATTCCATAGAAACAGAAAGCAGATTAGCTGCTGACTAGAGCTGAAGGAATTGGGGGAGATGGGAGGTGGTTGCTAAAGGTGCAGGGTTTCTTTTTGGGGTGATGAAAATGTTCTCAAATTGACTGTGGTGGTGGCTACTAAACTGAATATACTACAGTCCAGGGAACTGCACACATTACATGGGCGAGTTGGAAGATATGTATTATATCTCAATACAAAAATAATATAAAGAAATACTGTAGTATCACAATTACATGAAATTTCAGCTGTTGAGATACTTCTAGAAAGATAATAGTAACCACAAAATAACTCCTCATATTTCCATGCCTAGTACTTTTTAGTCTTTTATCAAATTAGATAATGCATGAGGCAAGCACTTTAAAACGATGTCTTCATAAAATGGCTCTTGCATCATCATTATTATTATTTAATACTCACTCGAGGACACGTTTTTATTGATTTTTAGAGAGAGAGGAAGGGAGAAAGAAAGAAAGAAACATCAATGTGAGAGAAAAATATCAATCGGTTGCCTCCCGTACACATCTGAGCAGGGATTGAACCCGCAACCTAGGTATGTGCCCTGACTGGGAATCGAACCCACAACCTTTTGTTATATGGGGATGACACTCCAACCTGGCTAGGATACTTGATTATTTTTATTTCATCCTGCATTTATCTATAAGCTAGAATAGCAAATTTATTTATTGGCCAGCATCGTTTATATATTACTCATTACAATTTCTAATGCTGCATAGAAAAGATTTACCGAATAAAACATTAGGAGGGTCTTATCACCATGACTCCCAACTGCAAAAAACAGGGCAATCTCTTTTATGCAGAAAAATGGCATCTCTGAGGAGGCTCTAATCAGTCATTATTTAAATCTAGGGCAGGATCTACTAAATAATAATAATAATAACGTTCTTTTTAACAAGGCTAAAATTTACTGTTTTTTTAATGACCAGTATTTCATTTCTGTTCTACCAGAACACCACCACAGAATGAATCAACATCAATAATCCAACAAGAATAATACACAAAAAGTGTGCTTTCAAACTACTCAATTACTTTGTAAAAAAAAATTTTTTTGAAGTAGTTCCTCTAAGCTATAAAACCCACTGACTAATATTTACCAAACAAAATGGAAGTGCCTAGGAAAGGAAGAAATGAAGGCATTTCTTGCTATTGCTCTGGTGAAGAGTAGTCCTAACTCTTAAAATAAACGC